TTCCGGCTCTTCTAAAGAAGGGGGTCGGGAGGGCTTGTGCAGACCCCCTCCCCCCTATTCCCGCATCTCCTTGCAGGAACCCCCAATGGCCAGTTGGGACTCTTAGGACTCCAAATCCCATTGCAGGAATCCCCACCCAGCGGCCAAAAGCCTCTTTCTTGACAGCGCTTGACAGCATTGTTGGGGCCTGTGGGCGAAAGAAAGGACTTTTCTTTTGCCCGCAACAGAGCTCGGGCGGGCGAAAGCAAGAACTTTAATCAGTGGGCTGCGCGCAGGGAGGAATATCTCCTCTCTTCCCTGCACGCATCCCACTGATTAAAGTGCCTTCTTTTGCCCACATCAGAGCTCGGGCGGGATGCGGGTGAAAGAAAGGACTTTTCTTTCACCTGCATCAGAGCTCAGGCGGGCGAAAGCAAGCACTTTAATCAGTGGGCTGCACGCAGGGAGGAATACCTCCTCTCCTCCCTGCATGCATCCCACTGATTAAAGTGTCTTTTGCCCACATCAGAGCTCGGGTGGGATGCGGGCGAAAGAAAGGACTTTTCTTTTGCCCGCATCAGAGCTCGGGCAGGCGAAAGCAAGCACTTTAATTAGTGGGCTTTGCGCAGGGAGGAATCTCTCCTCTCCTCCCTGCACGCATCCCACTGATTAAAGTGCCTTCTTTTCCCCGCATCAGAGCTCGGGTGGGATGCAGGCGAAGGAAAGGATTTTTCTTTCGCCCGCATCAGAGCTCACCCGCCCGAAAAATCGGGACTTTTTAAAAACGCCCCGGGACACGGGACAAATTGTTATAAAGCGTGACTGTCCCGCTGAAATCGGGATGTCTGGTCACCTTAGGCTAAGATCCTTTGCAAGTGTTTCTAGAAGCTGCTGTCCTCCTCTTTTGGAACTATGCTTCATCATATCAATGAAAACCCATAATATCTGGCAGGCATGTGAAAGTGAAAACCAGCTGCATTGCTATGCATGTCTCTAATGTCTTTTCTAAAATGCAGGAATGCATTTAAAACTTTCATATTCTATTTATTTTGGAATGGCAAAATCTAGTGTAGCACCTCCTCTTCATGTATAATACTGTACTTGGCCTAGGTAGATTCATGCTACAGATATTATAATCATCTTTGCACTGTGGTACAGTTTTGTGAGAACAAAACTACCTTCACACTCGCTGTTCTCTTCTATGTTTTTTTGGTGGTTAAGACTTTACTGCCTAAGCAGGAAAACTCTCAATTTACATCCTACAGCAGTGATGGCGAACCTTTTTAGCATTGAGTGTCCAAACCAGAACATGTGCATGCTGGAGTAGCCGCCAATGTTCACACGTACACTGGCCACCTAGTCTTCGAGTTTCCCCTGGTCTTCATGTGTGCTTGAGCACTGGAAACCTGAAGACTACCTGGCTGGTGCGCTTGCTGGTCTTCGGGTTTCTGGCACTCTGGCACACGTGAAGACCAGGGGGCCTGCATGCATGTGTGCGCCGGAAACCATAAGAGCAGCTGGTGACAGTGTGCATGCCCACAGAGAAGGCTCTGCATGACACTTCTGGCATACATGCCATAGGTTCACCATCACGGTCCTAGAGTAATACAGTCCACTTCAGCCCAACAAGATTTTACATTATGTATATAGAGCAGTTTAGTCAGAGGGACATTGAATTTAAATCCTTTCATACAGATATGGTTGGGAGGAAAAGCCATTTGCTTAGAACTCAACACGATCTTGTCACACATAGTTAATCTCTTCCAGGGCCAAAGTTCTGCTAGCCTTCTGATAAGAGATTTTCTTTTCCTGAATAATTTCTGACAGATCACGGCCTAAAGTAATGCTTTCTTTTTCTTTTCTTTTTTTACTTTCTTAATTCAGATTTGTAATTAACCTCTTTTATTTTTTACTTCTCTCAAGGTTACGTATTCCCTTCTACTTTCATAACATAACATTCCTTACTTAACCCAATCTTTATCAACTCCAGGTTTTTGTCTGGCTGAGATATAGAAGCAGACATCTGAGTTAGTTGTGCTGACAGGACAAAATAAAAATAAAAAAGTGGCTACGAGGCCAATGGTTAAATCAAGCAAAAGCTGAGCAAGCAAAATGGCATGCTGCTGATAAGCTGTTTTCATTGCTATCTCTGAAATTTCAACTGCTAAAATGTAGGTAGAGTGCCTTCAGAAGGGGAAAAGAACAAGTTGCTTGATGCAGTTGGGAAAATCCAAGTCTGGCACCAGAGTTGAAATAATGGAAGGGGGCAGACAGCAGCTGAAAGAAGATTATTTGGCCGGGATCTTTTTCTCAAAATGTCAGTGATGAACCACATTTTTTCTTTCAGTCTCCATATTGATACACACATTTTTATAAGGTGGAGGGAAGGCTAGCAATTATGTATTAATTACATAATTAAAAATGCATTTTACAATAATGTAACATTTTAGAAACATTTAACAAAGTACCTCTAGCTGCAAGGTTGCCATAGCAACCCCATGCATCATCTGTTGCTAAATGAGCAATTTAGTTATATCTCCCTTCATGTTCTCTGCACTAAAACAAAACCCCTTATTCCGTGCGAAGTATGTAATCCGCAAAAGCTAAGTTAATGTGCATCCTTTATTTTTATTCTGGTAATCATCCCTTAAAACAAAAAGTTACATAATATACCTGAGTACTAATATCTAACTATCAGGATTTCTACCAAGCTTCTTCAAATTCACTCATGTTTAATATTTTAGGAAGAATTGCCATATAAACCAAACCAAACCAAATTAAGCACTTTTTCACAGCCATAAAGGCTAGAAAATTTGGTTCTGATCTTGCCCATTAGAATCTATTTAATTTCCATTTTAAATTGAAATTTTAAATATATTTGAGGTAGTTCCTTCAAAAGAAATCTTGAAAATGTTTCCTACGGTTGAATTATATCAAGGAGCTCAAATTCCTAGCAGGTACATCTTTTGTCCTGTCAGTGCCCTCTTGTGCCACCAAGGCACCCTCAGAATAAAGTTATTGGAAATTGGAGACCCCTATTCTAGAAGCAGCTTTTTCTAGAGGAGACATAAAGAGGTGATGTTGTGGAAACAGGAGTTATGACAATTAGAATGTCTGGAAAGAAAGAAGAGATGGGGAAAGGAAAGAAATAATATTACAGGTTTTAAATTTTTCCTAGCCCACTTTCCTGCTCTCCATCTACATAGCATTTCTTCTTTGACAACTGATTCATAGCCAAGCAGCGCAGAAATTTAAATGCTGCACTTTATATCAAGTTTGTTGGGGGCTGATGTTCAAGACATGGGAACCTGTCAACAATGCTTTCTGCCTTCCCTGACAGCTGCCTAATAAACTAGACGAAAGACAAACAAAGAAAGTGCTGCCTAGCTCATAACAACTGTCTAGTTACAGTTCCCACAATCCCTAGAATATAGTACAGTATGTAGCATTTTATACCAGATAAGAAGAATCATCCAGGCTTAAATCACCAAGACACTTTAGGGGTGTGGTTGCACTTCTTCTTTCTTTCCTGTCTTTCCTGACATAGAAAATCTGGTCAAGAGGGTAATATCACTGAAATGAGAGAGACCAGGTATTCGGATCATTGTTTTCAGGGGGATAAGCAGGGGTAAAATCCAGCAGGTTCTGACAGTTCTGGAGAACCGGTAGCGGAAAGTTTGAGTAGTTTGGAGAACCGGTAGCGGAAATTCTGATTACTTTGGAGAACCAGCAAATGCCACCTCTGGCTGGCCCCAGAGTGGGGAGGGAATGGACATTTTACAGTATGCTTCCCCTGCCACACCCACCAAGCCATGCCCACCATGCCCACCAAGCCACGCCCACAGAACTGGTACTAAAAAAAATTGCATTTCACCACGGGGGATAAGGCTTAAGTAAATATAATAATCAGTATGGGGGAAAGCAAACCAGTTTTGTGCAATTGGCAGGGTAAGGTGTGATGTCAATGGAAGACTTATATTTCTTAAAACCACCCCAGATTAAAAAAAAAAATGAATCCAGAATTCTCAATTCTGTCTACCCTGGAAAAACCTCAGGATCCTGAAAAAGGATTCTTGTTTAAAGATAAAAGTTTATTATTTATACTTTGAAATATCTTTATTTGCATGTGTATTTGTACTTCAGGATTGTACTCTCCCATTATTCATGGCCAGTGCTTATCATTTTTTAACCAATTTATATTATGTGCTTGATTGTATATAGTATTGAAGGCATTGGAGGTTTTCCCTGGCAGTATAAGACTATGTTAGATAAATAAATAAAACTGTAAAGGTTTTTTTTTGCTTTTAGAAACTTTATTTTCTATGTAGAACAGGGGTGTCAAACTCAAGGCCCCAGGGCCGGATCTGGCCCATGGGAGCCTTAGATCTGGCCTGCGGGGTGCCCTGGAAATAGCAAAGGATTAGCCCATGGTGCCTCTGCCAGTGAAAATGCCTGCAGCCCCCCTGAGCTCTGTTTTTGCTGGCACAGGGTTGCAGGAAGCCATTGCAGCTGAAAATAGAGCTCAGGAGCTCGTTTTCGTTGCCGAGCAGTCGGGCCACTGCTGTTGCCCCGAAATGAGTGATATTGAACTGGCCACACCCACCTGCTGCCCCCTCCAAGGTCAAACACAACCCTGATGTGGTCCTTAATGAAATCGAGTTTGACACCCCTGACATAGAACATTTATCTCACTCTTAAATAATGTATAAGGGGTTAAATAATTATTGGAGGGGAAACAGTAGCTCTAACATTGGCCCCATTGTATTTTGCAGGAGATGCACGCCTGAGAGGTCAGACAGGGTTTCTTTCTGAGCGACGTGGTTCCTACCCATTCATAGACTTCCGTCTTCTTAACAGTAAGTGTAGCCCACACTGAAATGCTTCCAGAAAAGAGGAAGTGTATTTTATTTAGTTATTTATTCTCGCCAAATTTATTAAATCGAAATTGCTTGCCTGAATGTATCATGCTATTCTCTTTCAGGATTGACAGGGTGCAGAAAAGGGAAAAGAAATTAAAGAATAGCAAAATAGATTTCAAAGGAAATATAATTACAACTAATTTTTATCAACCCCATTCACTAAATATCTCTATCCTGGCTTCTATGAGTATGTTACCTTTAGTTCATAAAACTTTGGACCGCTCTCTTTCTCATCAAATCCATTCAACTTAACATTAATTTATTTATTTCTAGATCGCTCATCTCACTTAAGTGAATATGAATTCTTTTCCTTGCTCTCAAACTGCGCTGCCTTCAGCTTCTAAAGAAAAGGCAGAGTGAAAATGTAGTCAATGAATCAATAACAGGGGGAAATGATGATATTGTGGTTATGTGCAACTCTATAAACACATAATGGAAGAAGCATGTCCTGAGAATGGATTTTGAGCATGTGAGTTTTCTGGGAAATCATATAAAATTATCATGAGCAGTTGCTAGGCCTTATTAATAATAGCATTACTTAAAATGAGAAGCTAGAGAAAATTGAATTGAATTTAAAATAAGGAAATATTTTATGATCACAAAAAAACCCATGTTGATATGACATAAATTTTAAACTATATCTCTCAAAGGTTTTCTAATGCATTGTTTACTATTGTTGTTGTTGTTGTTATTGTTGTTGTTTCCCACATATGCTTTTTGCTATCTATCATTAAATAAAAATTCAGGAATATGCTATCCTAGTAGGCAAACTGCTGTATTTCTGTTAATGTGCACTTTTAGTTAACTGACTAGCTACTTTTCAGGCAGTGTGGATGTGACTTTGTATAAATGTTTCAAAAGATGAAGGTGTTCAGTTATACGATAGTTTCGTATGTTCATGATTCCTCTCATCACTGTATCTTAGGAAATATCATGGAAAATGTTAGATCATTTCCAAACAATCTTATGGATCAAGCAGAAAGGCAATCCATATGGCAAAAGACATCATGGAATGGAACTTTTTGTGCTGTTACTTTTAGCTCTAACTTTAATTTTTCATGCATGTTTACTTAATATATGAGAACAAACAAAATAATGTGTAACACACTATAAAATGAAATAATAGGTGGCAGATCAGTGCTTATAAGCAAATTAACTAAATGGGCAATGTTATATTTTTAATATTTTTATTATATTTATTTTATTATATTATGAGTGAAGATTGCGCAGTGGCTAGAATGTAGTATTGCAGGTTAATTCTGCTGACTGTCAAGGGTTCGATCCTCACTGAGTCAAGGTTAACTCTGCCTTCCATCCTTCTGAGGTCGGTAAAATGAGGACCCAGATTGTTGAGGGCAATATGCTGACTCTATCAACCATTTGGAGAGGGCTATGAAGCGGTATATAAGTCTAAGTGCTATTGCTATTGGTATAATCATTCGGTAACTTTTAGTCCTGTTAAATGTGTTGTGATCACACCAGGGGTAAAAATCGTACTGAAATCAACAAGCTAATTTAAATATTTTATCCCTATGTAACAGAGGTGGGTTCCTACCAGTTCGCACCTATTCGGTAGAACCGGTTCGTCAAATCTACTGAACCGGTTAGAA